AAATATAATATAAAACTAATATAATATCAATAAAATAATATAAAATAATGTTTAAAAATATCTATAATATTACAATGTCTAATTTTTTGTTAGACATAGATACAAGTCTGAGTTGTGAACATTTAACACTAACCTTAAGCATTGACAACAAATTATAATAAAAATTATAAATGTTCAACACCACCAATGCGTTAATAATAATTGTAAAATTAAATCTAAAATTAAATGATTGGTTAATTTAAAGATACGTAGTAATATACAATAAATATTTATAAAAATATATATACTGTATTTTAAACTACTAATTAAAGTACTTAATTCAAAAAAAATTAAGTTAAAAGTTAAAATATAGTATATAATGTCAATATAATATCAATATATGTAGTACGTACGTATTGTTTTTTTTATAAATTGATTTAGTATAAATTTTATATGGTTTTTTAATACATACATATATATCGTGCCTTATGTCGATCGGCCTAAGTTAGGTTAGGGTTAAGGGGTATAATTTAGGCCAACCAATGTCAATCAGTTAATGCTGGCCTAAAATCCGACATCTGAGGCAAGCATTAATCTGAGGCACAACATATATACTGTATTTTTTAAGATTAGTTAATTACTAGAAAAAGAAACAGAATCCAGTTCAGAATTCAGTACGCCAGGGAACAATTTGTTTCAATTTTTCAGAGGCGTTACCAATCTTCTAAAAATAAATGTTTGATTATCCGGATCAGCCCGACATGGAATTCAAACACATGCGACTTGGTGTACTAACCGAAATATCGGAAATGAAATTTTACATGTACGTAATAAGACTGGTATCCTATATGGGGAATGGACCTAATACCGACTAATTTATTTTAGGAGATGGGAAAGCCAGGAGTGTTTATATGTCTTTGATTATTTAGAGTAAAGGTTAGTTAGGGATTAGGGGTAGGATTGGGACAAGATTACGAATAAAATTGTCTTCCTGACAGTTTTTATTATTGCCCCGAGACAAGTTTAGACACTTGTCTCGTCGGGCTGATTTTATTACTTGATTTGCCGTTTAGTCACGTGAAAGCGCCTGGCTTTAGACGATCCTCTTTTTAGATAAATCCAACGAAACTACAGTTTCAATTAAGGTTATCCAAGCGCATACGTATAAGTAAGAGCTGCTAAAAACCGGGTAAATGGGTCGGTTTTAAAATTTCATATGAGAGTTAATTGATCAACTCGCATGGTTATAAATTCAAAACTAATATATAAAAATATCCGAGAGGTTTCATATGAAAAACATAGCATTCATTCAATGATAGTATTCTGGTACGTACATTGTTAGATTTTTGACATACGGATATCATCTCCGGGGTATTAAATAAGATAATTACGGTAATTTTTGGAAAAGATTACAAAAAACTTAATACGTACATTTAAATAATTATTATGATGTAATTAGTTTTTTATTGTTATTATATAATAAACCTACCAGTTTATACGTAATCAAAAAACTATTATTTGTTTAATCTATATATAGTTAAACCAATAGTGGTATATGGAAAACCTGGGCCCATGAAATTCAACAGTTCATGGGTGGAGTATTCATAACATCTATTTACAATTAGGTAATGTTTGTTGTCTATCAAATTTGGATATTTCATGATTTCCGCAATCTTTCACAAGTTTTTTCATGAAACCAAGGGTCCAAAAGTGAAGATTTTTCCGGAGTGTTCTTGAATTTGCGGGTGAAATACAAGTCAGTTATCAAAAGCATTAAAACTGGATAAAATTGTAGAGATAGAAAATTGATCGTTGATCAGTTTTTTTTTTTTTTTACAAAAAAAAAAAACTTGGCGTAATCAGTGATAAATATTGCAAATATGTAGAAATTGTAACGGTAACAATAACTAATCATCATACTTTTTTGTTACATTATCAGTATCAGCTTGATTATCTTACTTATCTTATTTATCTTAATTGTATTAATTGTTTGTATATAAAACTAATAACTCCTTTTTGCTATTTCTGATATCATCATGTGCAAGTATTATGGTAAATTATGAGACACAAGCCATTTTTATTATCTATTTACCCCGCGTTGTTTAAAAATATCATTTAAAAAGATCACACATTGACTTTTAAAGTTAGTTTTTGAAAGTGAATAACGTAAATATCGTAAATAGGAATTTAAATGATTTTATTAATAAATAAAAATTGTCAAGGGAACTTTTTGGTGTGTATAACCAGTAATAAGTTTCCTAAATTAATATTTTATACCTAAATTCTCTTTTTAATTTAAGAAAAATTCTGTTAAATTGAAACAATTTATACAAAAGTGTGACTTGAACTCGGTATACGGGTATACGGGATGAAGACAGGTACGTAACTCAAGATATCAAAAAAAAAATAATAATAATCTCCCCAACAGTTGACTAAATGTAGTAGTTAATTTATCTAACCATATATTTTATTTATTTATTTATATTATTATATGGGCGTATTCATTCACTTTTTTGAGATTAATGTTGATGTGACATTAAACATTCTTTTTGTCAATGATCACTTTGATCACTTGATTTTAACAAATATTTTATAAATATTTATTACTATGCTTGTCCAGCCACCAAGTTAAAAGTTACACTCTACCAAAAATATTCTTCTTGTCTCTTTCTAGTTCTTACTTTCTGTTCTTCCGAAACCAGAATTTCATCATAAACCCACCATCATCTTATTGTTCTACATAAATATATATATATATATATTATTATATGTATACGTATCAATAAATTATCATTATCCTTTTATTTCTTTATCTTCTATTGTCTTTTTTTTTTATTTTTTTGTCGTTAAAATTTGTGCTTAGGATGTCTTCCAGCATTGATAAACCTGCGGTGGATTATGATGTGAATAAGGTTACTGGTGGAGCCAGCGAGCCTTTAAAAATTCTTGCCGTTTCACCTAATAATGTTAATGGTCTTAATGGTGAACCATTTCATGATAATATTTCTAGAACTAATTCATTAACTCAAAATGTATCCCTATTGACTAAAACACCATTAATTAAAATCTCGGATTGTGAGGATGAAAAGCAAGTTGATACCGAGACATCTTCTATTAATAATAGTGTGAGTCTTGTTAATAAAACTCATTCCGACTTGGCTATTGCCATATCAAATATCACAACTGTATCAAGAGTCGGTTTGGATATTGCTAGCTTCATATCACAATTTGCCTTGGGAACTGCAAAAATATCTACTAGTTTGGGTTTAGATATTGCGAGAACTATGACCGGTGTCGTGTCCGATAGGATTGTACAAGCAACTAAAGACGGAAATGGAGGGTAAAAATTCAATTCCAATTTTTATTTATTTATTTTTTATATTCTATTACATTATATCATTTTATTTTATTATTTTTTTTTATGGTTTATTGATATTTTTTACTTTTGTTATTGATTTTCAAGATTATTTTTTATTCCTAGAATAATTGATGCTTCAACGACATTATTGCACCGCACACTATCCTTAACAGAACAAATTGCGCTAGCCGGTCTAGAATTCACTTCTGAAACGGTGCAACTTGCCTTAGGAACTGCTTCCGAAAGTATGACTCTAATAGATACTCTATTTGGAACTACTGATGCTGCTAAAGCTTTGGCCGAATTCGTTCAACTCGTAAAACGTGAATGGGATTATCTATATGAAGATGATGATAAATTAACTGAACCTGATGATTTCAGTGCTTTTAAAGTTGTTAAAGCTCTTACTGCTTGGGCTTGTCTACAATACATTACCGGTGAAAGTTTTGAAAGAGAAATCGGTGGTTGGAAAAAAGTTAAATTGGTTGGTTTATGGGATATTTGTAATGATTGGGTTCATATTAGTCATGATGATGATTTTTCCGTTTATGATGATCTGGAATCTTTATGTATTCAAGAAGAAGAAGATGATGATGAAGTCGTGATCGTGGGTCAAAATAAACCTTCTAAACCAAAGAATATAGTTGTTGGTGATTTAACTCCTCGTGATGAATTACCTGAATTTAAATTTACCATGGATGATGATCACACAAAAAGATTAAGTGATCTTTTCATGGAAACTACAAAAATATATAGTAATCCTTACCTTCAAGAATTCGAAACTCAAACTAAAAAAGAGAAATTATTCTCTCTTTTACATAATCTTAAAAGATATTCTAAATTCTCTTCTTCTGCTTATGATTTTAAGAATGCCATATTTGGTACGATACCTTTACCTGTTCCTCGTTCAAAAGAAAAGGGTCGATGCCATCGTTTTAATTTTGCCCGTTCAGCTGAATTATCTTCTGATTCTATCGTTGATTCTTCATATCATAAAATTACAAAGGATAGTGCTTCTTATCAACCTACTTATTATTTAATTCGTGATCATACTACAAGATCAATTATTTTGGCTTTACGTGGAACTATGTCTGTTCATGATTTGATTGTTGACCTTACTTGTGAATATGAGGATTTCCAATTTCCTGAAGATATTCAACGTGGTGATTCAACTAAATATCAAATTCATAAAGGAATATTTAAAGTTGCTAAAACAATGGCCACTCCTGGGCAATCTGGTGTTTTTGAAGCTCTTAAAAGGGAAATGGAAGCTAATGAGGGTTATGGTTTGGTTTTAGTTGGACATTCGCTTGGGGCTGGTAAATATCTATACTAATAATATATAATATTATCTAGTATTATAATTTATTATTGTAAATATGTAAATAATAATTAATAATGATTTATTATAATTGTAAATAATAATAATAATAATAATAATAATAATAATAATTATTATTATTATTATCACTATTATTATTATCATCACTATTATTATTATAACCACTATTATTATTCTCATCACTATTATTATTCTCATCACTATTATTATTCTCATCACTATTATTATTCTCATCACTATTACTATTATTATTAATTATTACAATCAAAGTTGGTTAAAATGCACCACAGTTGTTGAACGTTATATCTCAAAAATAATCAAACTTTTTTAATTCTAATTCCAATCCCCAAATTTTTTACCCGTAAAAAATTTTATAATAATAATGTGTGGTGTTGAACACAATAGGTGCATTTGACTATTTTATTATAATAATTATAATAATTTATAATTGTAATAATATAGTAGTAATTATAATTATAATTATAATAATGACAATATTTAGCATTAATTTATCAATAATTTAATAATAATGAACAATGTTCTACATTTTTATTTGTTAAATCTGTATAGGTGTTGCAAGTTTATTAGCTCTTCTCTTTGCTTCTCCAAAGACATGCATGACTACACGGTGGAGTCGTCTACCACTTGGTCGTAATGTTCACGCGTATGCATTTGCAACTCCATGTGTAATGTCCGCTGCTCTTTCAAGACGTCTCCAACCCTTAGTTACCTCTGTAGCACATGGTTCTGATGTGGTTTGCCGTCTAAGTCTTGGTCATGTACTTGATTTACGTAATATGGCAAGATTTCTTGGTCGAAATAAATCAAAATCTGGTGAAGCTGGTGAAGAAACTGCAAGTAAAATTATTAAAAAATTCATCGATTATCAAAGTAGAACGTTTGGTGACGATGAAAGAGGAAGAGAAAGTAAAGAAGAATTTGAGAATTGGTTCAAAAAAGTTAGAAATGATTGTTATGCTCACATGCAAAACCCTAAACTTTATCCTCCTGGAAAAGTTTATTGGATTGTAAATGCTAATAAAGCTCCGTATTGTGAAGATAATGATCAAGATGATGTGAATGATGATGATGATGATAATGATATGGAACGGGAAAAATGTCTTCTTGAAGATAAATCAAGTAAACAATATATTATGTTGGATGTTGATGTTGAAAAAATATTTCAGGAAGTTTGCTTTTCTCCGCGTATGATGATGGACCATCTTCCTCATATATATGGTTAGTATCAATTTTTTTTTTCTTGATTTTTTGGTGCTAATAATAAATTCTATTTAATCATATTCTAAAATTCAATTTTTACCTTTTTAAACGTAGAAAATGTCTTGAAAAGCCTGTAAAAAAAATAATAATGTAAAATCTTTTATACATATTTAGTAAATATTGTCACATTCATTTGTTTCATATTAATCACGAATGTTATATATATTAAAACTTTGTGCATGTTCAATGTTTTTTTTTATAAAAATTTTTTTTTTGTGCATATTAAAAATCTCTTTTCAAGATCCGTCTTTTTTGATGGGTCACATTTTTACTTTAGACATCTAGAACAAGAATAAATAAATATATTACATATTCATGGAGTCGACTTTTTTTTTTTTAATACATGTACGTACGTATATGTAATAATTCGTTACATTGAATTTTTAATGTACTAAATATATATATATATATTAGGAAAAATGCTCCGGCGTAATCTTAGATTCGTTATTTAATTTGCAACCCAATTGTGAGCTTGATATGATTGAGTGCAAATTCCTACTGTATAGCAATTATTCAAAATTACCAAGATTCATAAACAAATTCTTAATGATTGACATTTTTGATTTAGTTTATTACTGTATTAGAGAACTTTTATATTAACTTGAGACAAACTTTTTTGGAATCGATGCTAAATAAGAAAGGATAAATGTTATTCTGTGAATAAGATATTATAACTAAGAACGCGTATCTACTATTATGGACTCTGATTTACATGATTATGTCACTAACCAATCATGGGGTTTGCTGTTATTGAAATACCCTAGTGGCACCTAGACACTCTATTCTTTAATTGTAATTGACTATTGCAGTCAGGGATTTTACCAAAAATGGGGGTCGGCTAAGCGGAGCGAGTTTTTGAGTTACCTTTTTGATGCAATTAGGGTTAATAAGTTATATAGAATATCAAGAATGTAATTTATGCAGTATGATGATAATATATTGAATTAACTCCGCCTTAGCCGACCTCCAAAAATGGAAAGTGTAGATCGCACCTTGTATAGTATGAAAATGTCGATCACATGTTCTAGATCATTTGGTTATACGAAAATCACATGTAATTGACCAATCAAATTTAACCACAACAAAATTTATTTATTAACTAAAATAAGTTGGTTTTCATTTATCTTTTTTATAATGATTTATTGCAAAAAATAAAATAGGATTATTTAAACATCTTATATTAATTATTCATATATATATATATATTTCTTTAAGCATTTATGTTAATATTTTATTAAGATTTTTGAAATTACTATTTAACAACTAAGTTTAGCATTATCTGATCATCCTAATAGCATTTAAGTATAACCTGTCACATTTCTTCAAACAAAAGTAAGCTGCTTGTTTGATTATTTAAAATTTATAATAAAAGAGTCTTTCTTCTTTTACAACAAGTCTTAAAATTGTTTTTTTAGTTTTATTTTTAATTTACTTTTTCTTTTTTTTGCTTTTCTTTTTTTTTTCTTTTATTTCTTGCTAATTGGTTTTTTTTTTATTTGAGTTCTTCTTCTTTTGGAGTTTTTTATTTATTTTGTTAGTTGTTTCTGTTTTTCTTTTCTATTTATTAATTTTTTTATATCATGTTCTTTAAACTTGTTTATAAAAGATATTTTAAACTGTTTTTGTTAATGTATTCATAAATTGTTATCTTGTTTTTGTGTTTAAAAGCTGTGTTAATCTGTCTTGAATCATTTTTAGAATTAGACTTTTGATTAGTATTTTTTTCATTTCTATTTCTTCTGTTTCTATTTTTCTAAAAAGTGTTGTATAATATATAAAATAAGTTTTAGTTTTTTTTTTTTTTAATTTTTTTTATATTGTTGCAATAGTTACTTTTTGTATCTTTTTCTAAAAGTTTGCTTATTTTTTATATGATGTCAGATACTCTTGTGTTTCTTTAGCTTTGTCTTAACATACTTAGTATTCTGTATTCATATATAGATCTGGCCTTTTTCAGTTAAGTTTCTCTATTGTCAGAAGTTTGTTCAATATATATTTTATAAAAATACTTTTTTTCATATTATTTCTTCTTGTTATATAATATATTTTTTTAGTTAACTTCAGTTTTTTTCAAAAATACACCTAATTATAAATCATTATTTTCATTATTGATTCTAAATTCTTGATCATTGTTGTTTCTCTTTATTTTGTGTCTAATCTAATATTTGTTATTAGTTTATATAGAAGTCTTGCTAATATATTTATTTATTTGTTTTTCCATTTTAAATAGTACTTTATCTCTTTATAACTGACTTTTTCTATGTCTATTATCTTTCTACTTAATGTTTCTTTCTTTACAAGACTATTAGCTTTGTTATTTCATTTGTCTTTGCTGTGACTTTTTATTTTAAATCACTCTACTTATATGTTTTTTGTTTTAATTAGGTCAATTATCTTTATTATTTATACAATGTTTTTTTTTTTTAAGAATTTTATTTCTATTCATACATTTTAATTTTCTATTAATGTTTTTAATTGCAACATTACTATCTATAAATATTTCTAGTTTTTTCTCTTTTGGTATAATTAAAATAGCTATAAGAATAAGATATAAAAGATTTTAAAAAGTTTAGTACAAGGTTAAAAGTTTCTCATATAAGTGAACTGCTTTAAAGACTTAGTAATTATAGCATATTTGTATTAGTATCAATTAGAGCATTTTGGTAAATGTAGATAAGTAGATGAATATAAGTACTAGAGTGTTTAAATAGAAAACTTACAAACAGATTTCAGATATAGTAACTAGTATAAAACTTTCAGATGAACTACTTAAATTAGTTAATAATTAAAATTATACAAATGGTTAGTTTATTTTTTTTTTATAGTTGTTTTTTGTAGTTTTAATGCAATTATTAGCTAAATGTATTATTAATAAAATTCTAAGTTGCAAGCACTTACCTTACTATTTTTTTTAAAAAAACTATATTTTATTTTTTATTTAATTTATTTTACTTTTATTTTTTTTTTTATGATAATATAATTAACTTCTAATAGTGTAAATAGTTAATAAAATTTATAAATAGTTTACTAGTATATACTTAAATAATAAATATTATTTAGAAAATTTTAATAAATCTAAATAAGACTTACTATTCTAGTAGATTTAAATTGCAAATAAATATGTCTAAGCTTTTATTCTTGCATATAGCATTTTTAATACTTAGAATTATAGTTTTATAGTTAGCAATTTAATAGTTAGTCCTAACTGCAAATATTGGTCTTAGTCATAGTATATATAGAATTTCTTTTTGTATTTAGTAATTTTATATAATTACTCTTTAATGACTATGAATAAAGACTAGGTATGACCTGTCACTTTGCTAATAGTTTAAAGTTATTAAATAACAAAATTTATTAAAATTATTAAGATCATATAGAGTATTATATATAATTTTTTTTTAAATAAATTTAATTTGTTGAATAGTATAATTTGAATATTACTCAATATGTTATTATTAACATTTATCTGTAAAGTTATATAATAATAATGAATAGCAAAATTTCTGTAGCTTACATACAAAATTTTTTTTAGCATATAACTATAGCTAAATAGATTAAGAAAAGATGTAATATAAAACTCAAAACTTTTTAAAAACTTACTATTAAATCAAAATTTTAGTTATAAAACTGCATTTTGTATTCTAATAAAAAAAATTATTATGAAATTGTAATGCAAGCTATGATCATTTTTATTTTTAATCCTAACTCTAAAAATGAAGCTTATTACTTTAAAATCTTTTATTTAATTTAATTGTTTTAAGTTTATATTACATCTGATCCTTTGATCTAATTAACCAGAAATCATATAACAGAAGAAATTTTGTAAGTAAGCTACTAATGTCAAATAATATAATAATATCTTATGTAATTATAGATATTAATATTCTTGAAATTAATCTGTAATAATAATTGTCTATTATTTATATCTGATATAATATTTTTATTAAAGTATATAATTTTAATAATTTTAAACTAGGGTGTGGCAACCTAGTGAAGTGGATAGATTGTCAACCCCCAAGTGGCAGGTCTAGAGTTCAAATCTCAGTGATGGTGAAAATTTGCAATTCTTTCTGTGTTACAGCTAACTGTCTTCTGTGATTGGTTAGGATAGGATACCTGTAACCCGTGTCATACCAGCCTGACTGGAAGGTCTAGGCATCCGTGCAACGTTGTATGAAGGAA